ATATCCACAACTTTATCTTTCAACTCTCAAAGTGGGTAATTATTTTAAATTAAATGTCAATCTTCCAATACATAAAGCTTATAGCATAGCCTACTTGTTTATCAATTTTATTTAATTAATTTTGTACTCGTACTAGGATATATAATTCCACAGGCTATCAACTTGCAAAACCAATGCCCAAAATTCATCGCTCGTCATTTTCATAGCATTTAGTGATGGCTCTGTAATAATTAGTGTGAAATGAAAAAAAAAAAAGAGGAAAGACATCAATTTTAAACTTCTTTTAGCAGTTTGACCCAGCAAACTCCTCCACATACTGAAATGTTATCCGATAGAATTTAATTAAAATCACATCAAATTTAAAAAATATGAATAAATTTTTTTTAATATAAATCTAACGGTTAAAAATTAAGGCTCTGTTTATTTTTATAATTCAAGTTTAGAATTTGAGTTTTACTGTAGCAAATTAAACGGGTCATGAGAATATGTTTAATTTATGAGAGCTTTTTACAGAAAATCTAACTTTTTTACTTCAATAAAAAACTCTTAAATAAAGTTACATCTCAACTCGAATTAAAAATTAAAATTAGTGAACTAAACAGGTCCTGAGAGTATGTTTAATTTCATAACTCAAGTCATATTATTATAATATTTTCTCTTATAAAAATTTAAATTTAATTTTTTTATTATAATATTTTTTTTCATACATAACTCAAGTCACGTAAAAGAATAAACTTTAAACTTTTTCGATAGTTGTTGTTGTTGTTTTTTTTTTTTTTTTTTTTTTTTTTTTTTTTTCAGGATCCATAATCCCTAAAAATTCAAAATTTTGAAACCGTCTTTGTTTTAATTTTCTCTTGAGGGAAAGAATTATGTTTACCTTTTCACTGATTAGTTGTAGAATAAATTTTCTGGGGTCCACCTTGATTCAAAAATTGTTAGTCATATTTAATGCGTAAGCCAAATATTAATTCATTTATGTGTTTTTGTAACGCCTTGTATCTTTCGCCATTTCTATTTTGTAACGATGTCGATGTGTTTCGTGCTTTTCGGGGTAATTAAAAGTGCTTGTTTTTTATGCTGCCGATGTTGGAGTTTTTTACTTTTTAGGCGGCTCTAAATATCTAACGCTTCAAGTTCAGAACATCTCAAAACACAAGGAAATAAAGGAAAAAGAAAAAAAATATACCGTTCATTTTACCGATTTAAGTTTAAATTTTATATTTTATTACAGTAAAATTTTTTTAAAAATAATTACATTTAATTTTTTTATTATAATAAAAAATTTTCACATAAAATCACATCTCAACTCAAATTAAAAATTTCAATTAGTAAAATAAACGGGCCTAAAGATTATCACAAGAACTTTGGAGTTCTCTCCATTTGGAACATGCTTTGACGTGTATAATTTGTATGCATCTATATATGCACATACAAACATGTATTAACCTACGGAATATGCACCGACATCCGCAAAAATCAAAAGAAAAATAAAACAAAAAATTCGCAGAAACTGAACTCCGGCACTTTGAAGGTTTTCCTCTCCCATAAATTAGGCTTTTTTTTTTACATGTGACTCCCTCAAATTTACACGTTGGGCAGATTAATTCCTAAGTAAAAAATTTTTATAATCAACTTTCTACATTTTAAAATTCATTGCATTGGTGGTTCAATTAACTTGGTGTTAAAAAACTTGAATGGAATAATCACGTGCTTTCACGTGTGCCACTTATCAAAGTAAAATTAAAGACTACCAATAATTACGGTCCCGTTTATATCACCGATTCGAGTTTTATGAGAGTAAAAAGCTCTCATAAATAATCACATTTAATTTTTTTATTTCAATAAAAAAACTCTCACATAAAATCACATTTCAACTCGAATAAAAAACTCGAATCAGCGAACTAAACGCATCACATCTTTTAAATTTTCCTCCCTTTTAAAAAAAAAAAAAAGCAAAAGTAAATCTAAAACTGAAACAACCCATCAGAGACAAACCGCGGGAGGGGACTCGTGATTTATATATCAATTACCTTATAGGGATATTTTCTGATACGTTTAACATACTAGTAAGTCAGGTTTTTTTTTTTTAACCGTTGAATCTACGTAATTTTTTACTTTTACGTGATTTTATACATATTTAACAGATAAAAAACTTAACCTACCAGTATATTAGCCTACCGGATAATGCCCTCACCTTATAATTACTGTGTATAAATTTTTTTAGTATTTAACATTCTACTGAGCTCCACAATCATGTCCAAACCGTCCTATCTTTACGTTTAAATTTATAATAACACTCACTAAGACGCTCTATCCGTTTGCATCTGATCCCATAATCAACACGGTGATTTGTAATAACCAACCATGCTTGAGCTTAAATCAATGACGGTTGACATTATCAATACGCAGTAGCCCTTTCCTCTTCAGTGGCTTTATAGCTATGATGCTAATCATAACAAACTTATTAGGCAGAACTCACCATTACAAAACTGGTTTATACGGGGAGGGGGATTCAATGGCTTGTAAACAAACTAATCATATTATAATTATTTGATGTGAAACCTTTTGATATCTAACATTAAGATTTTTATCACTGGTGCCCCTGAATTTTAAGAACGTTCTCAGTCTCTTAAACTTTAAAAACACTCATTTTGCCCCATGAATTTTGAATTATTCTCACTTAACCCTTTCATTATAATTTTTTGTTAAAATCAAATAGACAAAAAAAGAGTAATGCAGTCACGAGGTCTTTATATTTTAATTTCTGTTTAAAACAAACAGATAAAAATTATATGACCACACTTATCCCATTTTTTTCCGTCTGATTTTGACAAAAATTATTATAAAAGGGCTTAAATGGGACGAGTTTAAAATTTAATGGGTAAAGTGAGAATTTGTAAAGTTTAGAAGATAAAGTGAGAATGACTCTAAAATTTAGGTGGCGCCAATGAAATTAATCCCTAACATTACTTAACCAGAAAGTGAAGTTTTTAAAAAGATTTCTCATTCCAGTTGGATATTTTTTCCTTTTTTCTCATCTATTTTGTTCTCGAATGGAAACGATATGTATCCATTTTGATTTTATTTTGTTGTGATGACGAGTTTAGTCCTCATCTATTTTTGGTTATTTATTTATTTTTTATTACTTTATTTTATGTAATCCTTCATTAACTCAGTAGTTTCTAATGTCAGATTTTGAAGATTTTAGGCAGGTAAAATTCGACATAGACATTCAAAGATTGAGTTTGGTCGACAACCATTACTCACACAGAGAGAGTTGGCCAGTACCGATAATGATAGTTTTTGGTGGATGCCGATGATTACTGGTTGGTACCACGGTTGTTATTAACAGTATCTTAAGAGTGTATTTGGTATTTTAAATATAATTGTATGATATACATGACATTTTCTACTATCTTTTTTTTTTTTTTCTCTTGTCATGAATTTATTCAAGGAATATATAATTAAATGAGAAAATTATAGTTCTACGTTGTTAAGTACTTGATTTATAAAAAGAAGCATATTTATAAAATTATACCCTTAACTAATTCTAATCTAAAAAATAAAAATATATAGGTTAATATTAACCGTTAAAGAATAAAAATAAGGGAGAAATAGGAAAATAGGTCAAGACTTGTGATGAATTAAAATTAATAGGCCAATAGTTTACATAAGTTAATAAATAGGTCAAATTACTGTTTTTGTCCATAACTTATCTGGTTATGAACCATAACTTGACAAGTTATTGTCCATAATTCACGGTTTTTGTCCATAACTTGTCTGGCTATGAACCATAACTTGATAAGTTTGTCCATAACTTATCTGATTATGAACCATAACTTGACAAGTTATGACCTATTAATTTTTATAACTAAAAATTAGGCTATATATTTTTTTAAATTTTTTATATTGACCTATTTTTTACTATTTTCGTAAAAATAAAAGGCCATTTTAAAGGTTGGGGCATTCTTGTGATGTTCCAATTATATGAGCAGCAGGGGGGGATCATGTAGAATAGAGGCCCAACATAAACAGTCTATAGTGAGTGAGAAGATCGACTTGTCACAACTACAGTACTGACTACCTAACATATGAATGGGGCCCAAGTATATTGGCCCATTTCAAGCTTTCGTGGTTGAGTTATCACGTTAATCTGCATCAGGCAACCTAACATATCAATGGGGCCGTGTACGAAAGGTCCGACGTGCCAAGTTTTTAACTTCTTCACAAAGCCCAAAATAAATAGGAGATTTACCGGCAAGTTCATTCCATTTTAGACACTGCTTCCTAATTAAATTACAATTATTTATTTTTTTAAAAGAAAGTACTACAAATACTTTTTAGAGATGAAAATCTAAACTCGTACACTCTAAAAATAAGTTTAACAATTTTCTCTTATTTTTTAGAGGAATGACATAAATAATATTTTTTACTCTCTCTTAAGTAGTATTTCTGATTTTTTAGGAATTCTCTTGGCATTAAATCGAAGGAGCACATATCAAATTCCACCTTCACTGATTTTTTTGGTTGTACTCTCCTAATTATTGTATTTAGTAATCTTCTTGCAAAAATCATGTCAAACATATCATTAAACTCTCCAAAATAAACAGGCTTTGAATTATTTATCTCATTGATGTAAAATAAAACTAAAATGTTACTGAGACAGAGAGAACAAACTTTTTTTATTTCCACGGTTGGTTTATCAAAATAATGTATGATTATTTTAGCCACGCCACCACTGAAAGAGTTGATAAACAAACTTGCTGACTCAAGGCTCCACTATTTCTTAGACCTCGCGCAACACTTTTTTTTTTTTTTTTTTTTTTTTTTTTGGGAATTGTGAGAATCTCAAATCGTTTTCGTAAATTTCATGAACACCTTTTTTTTTTTTTTTTTTTTTTTTTTTGGGAATTGTGAGAATCTCAAATCGTTTTCGTAAATTTCATGAACAGGATGTTTGAACCGAAGTTTAAAATTTTTGCACGAGAAAACACTGTAATAAAGAGGTTTGAACTGCGGTTCAAAGTACATATGAAACAAACACCACCTAAACAATCGAAAGATAATCGTGGCTTCAAATTTGCTTAACAAACAAAATCTAAACCCTACCAACTAACAAAATCTGATCATCGGATCGATTCCATCGGAACATTTACAAACTTTACCCTCCCACCGCGAACATCTTGCACTAAAAAACTTACCTAACATAGCAAATGAAATAATTAATAGAGAGCCATAGTCTCTAAAAAGATAGTTACTTATAATGCTAGTACTAGCTATAGTACTAAATCATCAATTGGAGGGTACATGGTAGTATTTTCCTCTACACATGCACCTATAGACAATAGGGCAAGACTCCACAGAACACTTGAAGCTGATCATCACCCTCTTACATGGGAAGCATGGCCCACATGCATGTGCGCAGTCTGGCAAGCTTGATCCTGTTGGGTACATTTCCATTCCCAATCCATGGCTCTTTGCTCTTTCCTGCTACGTTAGTGTTGGATAATTAATATCCCATGTTAAACTTTTAATTAATGTGGTTTTGAAAAAAATAACTTAAAAAACTAGGGGAGTATTTGAGCAAATATTTAACCTTGTAATGCGGGTAATTAGTAGGAGACTTGTCTCTATCACCAACACCACCTCCTTCCTCTTGCAAGCTAACTGAAAAATCAAAACCGAAAAAATAAAAAAAAAATATCAAAATTAAGATTATCTCAATACCTATACTTACTCTAGTGACAAATGACGGTTGATAGTTTATGATCTCCAGCTGCTAATAATTAGATTTTGTGTTTACTAAAGTAAAATATTTCGAAGAAAATATATGGAGCTCGATTTTGAACTATCGGCTGGTCGGAAAAATGATGAGTTTAGTTGCTGCTAAGTTGAGACTACTAAAAATAGTGCTAGTGTTGAAGAAAAGAGAGAGTTAAGAAAAAAAAAAAAAAAAAAAAAAAAAATAAAAAAGAAAAAAAAAAAAAAAAAAAAAAAAAAAAAAAAAAAACCAAAACCCTAGCTAAAAGCCAACTATATGATAGTGATTATATATGCATGTTTACATACATATTTATATACACTTACATTGATGAGGCCTCAACCCAAGGCTGCTATTAGCCATCATAAACATTGCCATAGAAAGAATCACAATACTAGAGAAGCTCTTCATCATTCTGATTACTTTCACTTTGAAAGTTTATCTTTCCCTTCTGTGGAGGAACTAATTAAACAAAGTTATATATATATTGAGAAACTTGAGGATGAGCTAGCAGAGATTTCATATATCAGAGATCAAAAACGACACAGGTCAAAGGGCAAGAGGAAAAAACAAGTATCGTACGTTATAATGTATTGGTATAAGAATAGAAAACGTGGTGAGGAGGGAAATCTATAGGGTGTTGATGGGTAGCAATATATGCAGCTAAAAAAGGGAGAGTTTTAAATGTGGAAAGAAGGTACACCCTGTTGCATTCACATGATCCACGGCCATGTTTTCAAGATTTTCAAATGTTTTGGTAAGTCGTGATATATATATATATATGTATATATATTTATAAACAAAACCTTATCTATACATTTATGTCTTGCATCTTTAATTGAACACAAGACAACTTTAAGAACACAGATTTGTCTCTCCCCCCCCTCTCTCTCTCTCACTATATATATATATATATATGTATATATATATATATGCATAATGAAGTGACGCCTGAATATCAGTGCCGAAGACAACCTTCTACTTTAGTGGGGTATACGCTGGATAATTTCTTTTGAAAACTATTAAAAGTTGTATAACTTTAGTATTCTTCAATTACCAAACCTATATATCTATATTTGTATATATCAAGTGTAAACTACTTCAGTGGGGATATATATATATATATATATATATGAGAAAACTGAATTTAAGTGGAGACAAAATGAGCAAGTCATAAATTGTTAAAGGTTTTTTTTTTCTTTCTTTTTTTTTTGTTAAGTTATAGTGGGGCCGACTGCCACAGCTTGATTTATAGGACATAAATAGTTATACATGATACCTTGAGAAGAATATGACAATTTACAAGAAAGTTTCAGTATTGGCAATATATAGTACTGTTCTTGAGCTGGCTTAATTGTTAATTAGACTTTTTTTTTTTTTTTGGCTAGAATAGTTAATTAGACTTGCACATGGAAAATGTAAACAGTTGTATGATGGACATAAAAAAAAATATTATTATTACTGATGTCTTTCCAATTTGCTTCTCAAATCTTAAAAACTCTAATTTTATCCTCTAAATTTTAAATTATTCCCATTTAATCTATTTTCTAGAATTTTTTTTTTTGTTAAAAACAAATAGAAAGAAGAGAGTAATACAATCACATGTTCTTTCTATTTGTGCATATGTTAAAAGTAAAATGTTAAAAACCACATGGGGCCACCTTTAACCCATTATTTAACAGAAATTCTTACACGAGGGTTTAAATGAGACTAATATTGGAAAACATAAATATTAATTAGAAGTAAAGTAAGAGTTTTCAAAGTTTAGGGTTTAAACTGAAAAAGACTCCAAAATTTAGGAGTACCAATGATAATAATTAAAAAAAAAGAATATTTGAGGGTTTTCAGTTATTTATCTTAATAATATTACCTGTATGTATATATAATGCGTGAATATACGTACATATTATACATATATGTCGGTGTTGCGTTTATAATATATATATATATATATATATAATATGTTTGTATGTATAACGTATGTATGTACATATTAGTATTCGTCAACGTTGTATGTAGATCAGAGCTGAGATAAATAGTGACTGGATATGGGGATAATAATGAGAGGAAGTTCACGTGCAGAGGCAGTTTTATTTACGATAGTAATATAAATAGGGTTATATCATCATAGAATAGGTATGAAGTTGTCGAAGGGTAATTGAAGAAGGGCTCTGCCATAAACGTGAAATTCAGAACTTGGAATTAAATGAACTCGTTGCAATTCGATTTCTTACAAGTCTTTATGGATAGATTCACATTTCTATATATATATATATATATATATAATATTTATATCACTTCGATTTTGTTGTTCCCTCACAAGCATGTTTTCCCGTTGTGTGCCCACTACACTTGTATTGAGAAAATGATGGGACATCTCTGCATGGACTGAGTGCTTCCTCTCTTAATTAGCCTACAAGAGAATACTTGTAAGAATACAACTGCAATGCTCTACCCATAATAGTGAGAGTTTCTTCGGTAGGTCGCCCTACCGGTAAAATCAGTTTTCTGATCGTTAAATTTAGTCAAAATCAAATTAGATTGAAAAAATATACATAACAGATAATTTTTAATGCAGATCTAACAATAAAAAAAGGACTTAAGAGACTAATTGCCAAGAAAAAAAAAGAGTTTAGACACCAAATTATTAATTCTTATATATATATATATTTATATGTATATATAAACTATTAATTCTTATTGGCGACTGGCTATATAGCATCCGGGTTGGGCATTAGTGCAGTTCAGTCCCGGACGATGAATAGTATTGATGCTACATTTTTGTCAATTTTGTCTAAGTTTAATTCTGGTGGTGTTGAGACTATAGATGGATTCCTAGAGCTTCTAATGTATAAATCACTCGTTCTGTTCTGAAGCCAGTTACTCAAATCATATCATAATTATATCAAATTAAACAAATGTAAAATCTAATATTTATTATATCAAATTATTAAACAAACAGCCTATTAAAATACTATATCTTATCGATAAGATATTAAAATAAAGAGTTCTCTTAAAGTCTACTTGTTACAATAACCTTTTGTCTTACAAATTTTCAAGCAAAGAAAAACTTTTTTTTATTGAACAATTACAAAATTAGGCTCCGTTTGGCAGGAATGAGAGAGAGTAAGTAGGATGGAGAGAGTAGGAGAATGTAAAGGATGAAGAAGATAGTAACTTTTTTTTTTTGTCTTGTTTGGTAAAAGGTAGGAAGAAGGGAAAAAAAAGTCCTAATTCCTTTGTATAGAAAGACAATTAGAAGGATGGATAGATTTTTATTCACAAAATTACTATATTACTATATTGATTACTTATGAATTATTTCAACCAAATTGATGAGTAAAATAGTATTTTTCATCCCAAAAAAATTCTCTCTCCAACTGTTTCAGCTCTGATCCATCCACCAAGGGAGGGATGTAAAATGGTGGAAGCTCATCCCCTCACATCCCTCTCCCTTCCTATCTCCATTCCACTAAACAGGTGATTTAGAGCTTGTTTGTTTAAGTGAAAAACTCAAAAAATGTAACTTGAGTTACAACTTTATTCGAGTTCATGTTCTTTTAAGTTTAAACTCGAGTTTATGATTAAAACTCGAGTTCAAGTTTCCCCTTCAACTCGAGTTCAGAAACTCGAACTCAAATTAATGAACAGTATTTTTTCTATTCTTAAAAATGCTATAGCTTTTTCGTTTTAATTCTGATTGAGATGATTTTTTTTCTATGCGTTGACAACGAAAAGACGAATAAAATCCAACCCATATACCCTATTAAAATTTTTCATCAGTATTGAGTTTTTATTAAAATACTATCTAAATACAAATTTAAGTTTTGACTCACTCAAACACAAACTCAAAAAGATTCTTATCTCAAACCACAACTCAAATGTACACAACCAAACACAAACTCAAGTTACAAGTTCAACTCAAGTTATAACTCAAATTCAACTCAAGAATTACACTCAAGTTAAACTCCAAAAGAATAAGCCCTTAGTCATTCCCTCCACTCCTGTCTATCTACCCATCAATCCCTCCAACCAAACAAACTATAAGTTTCAAAATTTTCATTTTTCAATTTTCCTTTTTCAATTTTCAATTTCTTTCAAGAATATTATTTTACTCTTATACTCAATCAAAACTCATATTTTGTGATGGTTGCATCATCTTCAAGAATAATTGGACTCTTATTCTGAATCTCCAATTTGTGGAGTCTAATATATTAGCAATATTCATCCAAGCTGTGAAGAATTTTTGTTCTTTTTAGGATGAATTTTTAGAGTTATTGTCATATGCATCTAGCTTATTATCTCTTTTCATGAGTTAAGTTATACCATGTGTTTAGAAAAGCTAATAAACATGTCCAAATTTTGACTACTTATGCTCTCAATATAGATGATAAGCTTATTTGGTCGGAGGGATCTCCTCCTATTATAGAAATTGTTATTATATCAAACACTTTTTTGTTTATAATAGTAGAATTTTAGAACTAAATTAAGTAAATAGCATATTTTAAAATTATTTGAAATAACTAGTAATTTACGTGGTAAATGAATTATTTACCGCCTAATTGGTTCATTTACTGCTAGTAAACATTGTTTTTACGATTGATAAAAAGAATTTTTACTATGTAAATAAAGTTTTTTTACCACATAATTTATTTTTTACCGGTCGTAAATGAATCATTTGTCGTGTAAATGATTCATTTACTGTGTAAACTAATATTTACTTTAAATAGTTTTAAAATATGTTATTTACTTAATTTAATTTTAAAAATATGTTATTTATTATAATTTTCTTTTATTTATTCAGGAAAGTTAGACATATAGCAAAGTTTTATTAGTCATGTTGAAATAACCAAAAAAATTTATAAATAATGAAAATTGAAATCAATAAAATAATTATTAGAAATTTTATAATACAATATATGTATATAATTCTAATAATTACCACATAATTTTGTTATTTTAAAAATATTTTTTAAAAAATTTGATATTTCAAGCTCACAGTCATAAATTTTCCGTGTAACATAATTTTTACTTATTCTTTTAATCATAAATGATAATAAATATAATTTTTTTTAGTGAAAATAAATGATATTTTTACTTTAATAAATAACATATTTTAAAATATTTAAAATAAATAAATAATTTATCAAGTAAATTTTGTATTACGACTAATAAAAGAATAATTTATCATGTACATTTTTTATTTGCTTGTAATTTTTATTTACGGTTATTTACTTCAATAACTTACTATAAAAATGCTATTTATATTTCTCTAATTTTTTTAAAAAATTATTAAACTTATTTTTTAAAATGTATGAGTCTAAATTTTTATCTTTTACTCTTAATTAACACCCTTTTATTAATATAGTTATTTAACTAAAAAAATATTAACTAATAATTAAGAATAAAAATGAAGAACATCCACTTTTAACCGTATTTCTCTTCAGGTAAAAAAAAAAAAAAAAAAAAAGTATTTATCGAGATTTCTCTCTTTTTTTTTTTTTCCACAAAATAGGCTATTTGCCTCCCGGTCCCCTAGATTCCCAGGAAAAGCCCATTCGAAGCCCAAGCCCATCAGAACATATCTCTCCGAGTCTTTGTCGTTGGTATTCAGGCAAACCCGTTTACTGTATTTCGGCCACCATACCGATCGTCTTTTCCTCTAAACTCTGCTGTGCTTCCGCAACTTTGGTTGTCGTCTCCAACCAACAGAAATCTCTTCCTCTCAAATTCCCAATTCAGGTAAATCAATCCAATACCACTTTTTCCTCTTCATTTTGCTGTCGTTTGTGAATTATGAACTCACTTCTCAGAAGAACAACAAAACCCATTACCAAAACCCAAATATTATCGTCATTATTCCCTCTCAAACTCACCCCAATCGAATCCAACCAAAATCCACGTCCCAAACTTCCCCATCTCCAAAACCCTTCAAGGGTTTTGCAGATTCGTCCCTTCTCAACCCAGTTTCCCGAGTACGAAATGCCCTCGGTCACCTGGGGCGTTGTCCAGGGCCGAAAGGAGAAACTAGTTTCAAAAGTCATAATTTGCGATTATCTTAAGAGTTTAGGAATAGTTACTGATGAATTGGAAAGCTTGGAATTGCCCTCCACAGTTGAGGTCACGAGAGAGCGAGTTGAGTTTCTTCAGAGGTTAGGATTGTCTATTGACGACATTAATGAATACCCTTTAATGTTAGGTTGTAGTGTGAGGAAAAATATAATTCCTGTTTTGGGCTATTTGGAGAAGATTGGGTTGCCAAGATCCAAACTTGGTGAGTTTGTTAAGAGCTATCCTCAGGTTTTGCACGCTAGTGTTGTCGTTGAGCTTGCGCCCGTTGTTAAGTTTCTTCGCGGTCTTGATGTCGAGAAGGATGATATCGGATACGTCTTGCAGAAGTATCCTGAGCTTCTCGGGTTTAAGCTCGAAGGGACTATGAGTACTTCTGTTGCTTATCTTGTTAGTATTGGTGTTAGTCCTAGAGATATTGGTCCAATGGTCACTCAATACCCTTATTTTTTGGGGATGAGAGTTGGGACGATGATTAAACCGCTTGTCGATTACTTGGTTTCGTTGGGTTTGCCTAAGAAGATTTTGGCTAGGATATTGGAGAAGCGGGCTTATATACTCGGTTATGATCTTGAAGAGACTGTTAAACCCAATGTGGATTGTTTGTTGAGTTTTGGGATTAGGAGAGAAGTACTTGGTTTGGTTATTGCGCAGTACCCGCAAATCATCGGGCTGCCTTTGAAAGCCAAGTTGTCGTCCCAGCAGTATTTCTTTAACTTGAAGCTCAAGATTGATCCCGAAGGGTTTGCGAGGGTGATAGAGAAGATGCCACAGATTGTTAGCCTCCATCAAAATGTGGTATTAAAACCGGTTGAGTTTCTTCTTGGAAGGGGGATACCGTCGGAGGATGTGGCCAAGATGGTTGTGAAATGTCCGCAGTTGGTTGCAGTGCGACCCGACCGCATGAAAAACAGCTTTTACTTTTACAAGAGTGAGATGGGGAGGTCAATCAAAGAGCTTGTGGAATTCCCCGAGTACTTAACTTACAGCTTGGAGTCGAGGATTAAACCGAGGTATCACAGGTTACAGAGCAAGGGCATTAGGTCTTCACTGAATTGGTTTCTCAACTGCAGTGACCAGAGATTTGAAGAGAGGTTACAAGGGCATTATATCGAAACAGAGAGGTTGGGACCCTTTTTTTGTATGGGCGGGAAGTTAGAGCTACCGGGTAGGGAAATTGTGTCGGATGAGGAAGAAGAGAACGAGGATGAAGTACTTTACAGAAGAACTGTTTCTCTGTAACAAAATTTGGTTGGTAATACTAGTGATGTATTTTCAACTCAAAATTATATTCATGGTATTTTTGTATCAGTTGTGCTTATCTCTTTGATTTTTCTTCCTGCTCTCGTCATCTTTACATTATAGACAGCTCAAATATCTCATTCTTTTCCTTCATATGGTAACCAATAAGTATAAATATTGCTCAATACGTTGACTTGCAAGCTGGATTATGCCTCCATAGATTAAGTGGCCAAGAATTGATTGAAGTTTACATAGGAATTCTTGATTATAGCTTTTGATGTTTTAGATCGGAACATAACAAGGTGCAACCACTATTCAGAACCTCATTTCTCTTGAATAAAATGGTGACTAGCTAGATGATTTTATCCTGGAAACGAACGTTTAGAATAGATTTCCACGTCTTGTATGATCGTTGGCAACCCCAGATAAGCACTGAATGAACCCAGAAATGGTTTATCAAAAAAAAAAAAAAAACCCAGAAATGTATTTTAGTACATTTGATGCATTATGAAACGTCATTCTGAAATATGCATTATGATGCATCTATTTTTTTTTTTCTTTTCCTTTCTTTTTTCCTCATATCTTACAGTTTCCAATGTATTTCGCTAAAAAGAATTTCTGTAATTCTCCCTGTTTAATTGTTTTTCAAATGTTCTCCTACTTATTTTCTTTTCTTGCAGTACCCTAAAATATATTTTTTTAAAAAGGTGCCCCTTACAAATTTTATCATAGTTAAACGTTTCTTCTTTTTTTTTTTTTTTTTTAGTACAGACCATTTCGCATAATACTAAATCATTTCTCTACGATTTGCTCCACAAAACTTATAATGAAATTCCCTTCACATATATGTTTTATCGTTTAATTTTTCTTTTGTTGAAGTCTTGTTTTTCGAACAAAATGAACCAGCGTTTTCATTATTTTCGTCCAGTTTTCATTATTTAGGGATATAAATGTCTTTGTATGTATGGTAGAAGATAGTTTTATAAATAAATGAAATAGCAGACATTTCTAGACTCATGATGCTCTAAGTAGAAAGTTGCATCACAATTATCATTAAATTCAATGAACAATTGGAAAATGACTATATAAGAGATTAGGGCTTAGTTTGGTATTACTTTTTCTAAAATCTGCTTCTGCTAAGCTGATTTTAGTGTTAGTAAATCTCCTTAATAGCGTTTTTTGAATTTTTTTTTAAGAATTTACAGCCAAAATCAGAAGCAACTTCAAGACAACTTTAACTTTTAAATTGTGCAGGAATCAACATAATACAATTAATTAAACTTTCATACTATCCATAATATCCCTAATGAAATTTAAAATTTACAATCTTCCCGATCTAAAATTCAAACTCGTAATATAATATAATATAATATAATAGTAATATTGTAACAAATAATATCATAATTATATTAATAATTCTAATATTATTATTTTATCATATAATATGATATTATAATAATATTATAATTATTTTAATAATATGATATTATAATTATAATATAA